GAAACTCAAAACTATGAGATATTCGTGCCTCTTTCAGCGAGATGTTACGTATTAGGCACAAAAACTCGCGGACTGAAATTACGGCCTTATGAGGCTCTTCCTTTCTCTCAACCCCTTAATTGTTCATTTTTTTTATTATTTTTCGTAATTTTTTTCTGATCAAAAAAAGGAAAACCTGCCTCGGGTTACACCCATCCCAAGTAAGGAGCTCGGAGGACAAGGCGCATAAGTGCAGTTTTTGAAAAATTGAGATATTATTTATTTCAATTAAACCTAGTCTTAATGCATATTCTGTAAGAAATTCACTGCCAAATTCCAATTTTTCAGCAGCAAGTCAGCAACAAGTCAGTTTGAACTTTCTTCCCGGCATAAGAATCCATGTAATTTCAAAACTTCGAACACTTATTTAGGTTTAATGATTTTAAATTTTCTATCAGTTTCTACTATAACTGTTATAACCAAAATTATAACTGGTGGAATCAATTTCTCTGTGATAGGCGAGTAAATCACATCTTTGTTTAATTCTATAAATCATAATAACTTATTCCCTAAAATTACAGATGGAACAAGAAGAAGAATTTTTCTGATCTCTTAATTATACACTTCTTTTTTTATTTTTATAGTTAAAGATATTTTGTTTAAATTAATGATTATTATACCCATTAGAAATTTGGAAAAAAACCTATTGAAATGTTTGCCATTTAAAGAAATGGCAAAAATTTCACTTAGCGGCTTAGCCTCCAAGCTCTTCAAGTGTAATCGCCCTTCCGAAGAGGAATGGAGATGTTGCATGTCAGAGTTGCTAAAAGAAATTTCATCGAATGAAATTTCTTTTTTACCTACGAAATTTCTTTTTTCCCCATGAAATTTCTTGAAATTTCCCTATGAAATTTCTTGAAATTTCCCTATGAAATTTCTTGAAATTTCCCTATGAAATTTCTTGAAATTTCCCTATGAAATTTCTTGAAATTTCCCCATGAAATTTCTTCGTATAATCTTTCACGAAATTTCTTAACTCTGTGCACGTGTGAGGGATTTGCGATTTGACTGTTGATTCTTATGTAAAAGTTCGCGAGAGACACGATGATGCTACTGGTTTTCTCTGAAATCAACTCCCAAGCTTAAAAAAAGCTCTAAATGGAGGAGATATCCCACACTATCCTGAGAGTCCACGTCTACGTCAAGACAAACTCTCCATGCAAAGATAGGGAGAAAATACATTAGCAGGGTTGCCGTGTTTTCAGTTTTGGAGTCCCCAAATAAAGTGGCAGCCATGTCAGTGTATTTGCTCCCTATCTTTGCATGGAGAGTTTGTCTTGATGTAGAGGGGACTCTCAGGATAGCGTGGGATATCCCCTCCATTTTGGCCCCAACTTGAGAGCTTTTTTTGAGCTTGGGAGTTGATTTCAGAGAAAACCAGTGGCACCATCGTGTTTCTCGCGAACTTTTACATGAGAATCAACAGTCAAATCGCAAATCCCTCACACATGCAACATCTCCATTCCCCCACGAGCCTAGTTAGAGAAAAAAAAAGTTTCCATGGAAAAACTTTCAGAATAGAAAATTCTCCAAATTTGGAATTTAATACAATCGGTCAATCTACTATTTGAAAATTCACGCCCTGCAGGAAAAAAAGACTCTTCTGAAAAGGCCTCTGCCCGACGCACCGTTTTGAGATTCAAGGGCATGCTCTCCGGTTTTTGTCACTAAGAACCATTAGTGGAAAATGTCAGTCGAGTTTTCACACGAAAAAGTTTAAGTAGAGGCACAGAGTGATTATTTTTACCATGGGCCACCTCCTCTCCGCCTTCGTGGAGTGGAATTCTGGAATCTCAGAGCAACCTGATCTTTCAGTTTAGGCGACTTTAATGCAGAATTTATGGCGCAAAGAATGGGACTGTTAAAATGTTCAATAAAACAAGAGGAGCATTGTTCATGGTTGAAAAATCGTCTACAAATCACAATGAGCTAGCTCAGAATCGATCAACCTTGCCAGACAAAGTGTGTGAGGAATTTTTCGTAGTTTTTAACACTCTGCCTTAATAATTATCTCGCAGGGTAACACTAATTTTTTACATTCAAATCCCTCTGGTTTTATGATTTTAGCCGAAATCAAAAAGACTGGGTAACCCTCTGAAATAAAATTTCCCGATTAATCAGAGTAATTGTTGTTTTAACGTTGAACGGTTAGTCGGAGGTTTCTGTCTCTGAAACTTTCGGCGTGAAGAAAGGTTATTAAAAGTCCAAAAACCACCGTGGGAAGTAAGGGGGGAAAAGCAACGGAACTGTATTTTTATATTTTGAGAATCTGCGTCTGATTGGTGTAACTCTTTTTTTTTGGAGGAATTTCCATTCCGTTAGTTAACGAACTCCATAACTTCTAGGATACATTCAATGTGACTCATTTTTTCGATCACTCTGTATACTCTCTTCATCTCTTTTACACTTACACACACACCCTCCCTTTCTCTCACACACACACACATACCCTCTCACACACGAGGCACCAAATTGTTTTAATTGCATCCAGTCGCCGACGGAAATTAAGTTAGGTCTCCCGTTCCACGTCAGATCTTCTGCGTATATATAGGAAAGCTGCTATGAGCAAAAAATCAGTTGCAGATATTTTTGCGTCCCATAGCTGGACGCACCTTTTCTATCGCGAGCTTTCCCATTATCTCCCTCCGATGAAAAAGTGGGGTGCAGCGGTTTTCCTCTTGGGTTTCATGGGATTCCTTTTGCACGTTGGAGGTAACAGACAACTTCAATGATCCTTGAATTATTATAGAGAATTCGGCCTTTGAGGCCAAATGCCTCTCCTCCGCCTAAAGGTAGATGGGGTCCTCTCTTTCTAAAAAAATTCTGAGAGTTAGACTCACTAGCATTCAATTCAGTAGTTTCTACGCCAAAAAGTTGGTTTAATTAACATTGAAAATAGGGTTCCTGTTTGAACAGTTCTGGGGTCAATTCTCTTCTGAGCGATGAGAGAGCTAAGTACAGGGGGAGGACAAGGTTAAAAATTAAAATCAGAGCAGGTCTAACATCTTCTCGACTGTATTAAGGCCACTCGGACACAGTTGAAACAACATATATTATTATTAAAAGAAACATGTATTTGTTATGTAGGGTAAATAAGGGAGATCTCTGAATAATTTTTTGGGCTTTTTTTGTTTGGTTGTGACCAAGAAAAAGAGGATGAGAAGGGGAGAAATACAGGGGAAGAAACATGGAGAGGATTAAAATAATCATGGATGATTGAATTGTGCCTTTTTAATTTCTAAAAAGGAAACTTGGTTTATTATTATAATGCATGGAATTTAATATATCAATCTACTCTAAATAATCTTGACTTTTTTTAACTTACTGAAGATTCTTTGTTTTTATTATTTTCTCTCTTATTTTATTTTTAGGTCTCCAAGTCGAAATATTGTTATAATCGTGCTATTTCACGCGCTGAGTACAAAAATGACCTCCGCTTTTTCCCATCTCCTCCCAGTTTACCGAAGTAGCCATTTTCAATTAGAGAATTGGGCATGTATTAGCACTTTTGCGATAAAATCTCAGTTCAAAATGAGCAAAATGTTACTAACACTTCTAAATGGGCCATTTCCTATGCAATATTAGCTGTTAAAATTGAACATGACTACTGTTTTTCATAGACAGGACAAGGAAGGGGCTGAGTTGGGGAATCTACTTAGCTTTTATTAAAACATTTGAGGGATTTTACTGGGTAACCATGTGAATTTTCTTTAGTTTGTGTTTAATTCGATCAATTTTGCGAAGGCATCTCAAAATTGCTTTAGAGACGACTCAATTTCCCTAAATTTTCCAGACTCCTCCCCTTTTGGAGCTGAATAAATGCCCCAAACACTACTTTAAGAGTCCCATATATCCCTCTTAGTGCCTCTTTTAGTGCCTCCAAAGCCTCTCCCTAATGAGGTCCCCCTCTGGCCCCTCTCAAAAAAGTTCCTACTTACTCGATCCTGTGCTGTTTTTCCAATAACCCTTCAATTTTTTAAACTACACAACGCATGCGAAAACAATGAAAATCAATTTTTTAAAAAAAGATTGAGTAGATCCGCTTTCAGCGGTCAAAATGCAACCACTTTACTAAATGGTTGCGTGACAGCAACTATGATCGGATCGCAACTCATTTTTTTTTTCATTAATTTAAATTTTTTTTCGGCTGAAAATGAGCTTGTAGCGGGTGAAATTTTCCTCCTTTTTAGTGATTCAATATTTCAGTCTCGTAATACCAAATTTTCGATCTTTTAATCTGTCGCGTTCAAGATTTTAGGATATAAAATTAGTGCATTTTCTCTGGGAAATCAGATCGAATTGGACAACCTTTTGCAAAAAAGAAACTACTACCCTGCTAAAAATGGCGAGTACAAATGAGTAGAAAATCAAAGTCATATGAATAGAATTTCAACTCATAAAAATAGAATTTCAATTTATATGAATAGAATTTAACTCATAAGAGCAGAATTTCTCTATCCAGTTTCCGCCAACTCGTGACTAGAGATGACTAGAGAATGACTAGAGATTTCAACTCACATGAGTTCAGAGTTGAATTTACCGTGTCTGATATTTCAGAAAATAGTCACCGCATCAAAACAATTTTAAGAACAAAATGTTTTTATTTTCCAAATTTACATTCTATGTCTGTGTCTCCTGGTCAGAAACAGCACTTCTGAGACATGGAAAAAAATTGAATTCATATGAGTTGAACTTTTCTACTCTTATGAGTAGAATATCCTAATGATATGAGCAGAATTTATTCTCATATGAATAGGATTTCTACTCATATAAGTAGGAAGCTCTACTCATGTGAGTTGGCGAATTCTGAACAGCCTACTCGTCATTTTTAGCAGGAATATATCTGCTCATTTTAGAGGCAAAATTTGCGCCGTTAGGATCCGAATGTAGATGAGTGTTTTATAAATGAGCCAGAAATAGTAGTTCCTCATTGCAAAATGTAGACGAATGCATTTTCGCTGGCAGTTCTCGGAGACGGGAGAGCGTGCAGAAACGCCGAGGACGCGAAAGAGTGCGACAATTTCTGCCGGATGACGTATGGCAAAGCCTCCCTGCACAACATCCCGTGGACTCGTGGTGGCTGCTTCAAGGAGAAATGCGATTGTGTCTTCAACGAAGAACAACTTGGCAGATACTCACTCCCCAAGTGTCCGGGGACCACAAAGACATGGCTACCACTCGAGCATCAAGTCAATCTGGCCGAAGCTGAATATCAGGTGAACACGTTAAATCACCATTCTTCACCTTTTTTTCCAGTAGTTTGCGCCCACACGTAAAATTAGCAACAGTGACTTGGTCCAAGCGTTATATTTTAGTCGGTATGTAAAATTATATTGACAATATGGAAATGAGAAATTGAGAGAGAAGGAGGTGTTGTTCTGGCTGCTCATTTTCTAAATGAAATGTCATTACTTTCTCCTTTTGAATCATCTTTGTAAATTGTCATTGGTCAATATTTGGTTTTATTTCTATCCTTAAAATATTGAATGTACAATATACCCTATATATGTATAGGCACTTTTTTATTTTTTTATATTTTTTCTTTACGAAATTATTACTTCATTTTGAAAACATTTATATGTTTAAAACGTGACAAATATTTGTGCGACAAGCGACATTAATCTCAATGAGCCGCAGTTGTACCGACAGAAACTGCAAAAATGAATAAAAGAGAAAAAAAAACCAAGAAGCACGCGATCTTTAGTTTTAATCCATTTGTGCATAGATCTTTTATAGTCAAATACGTCAAATTTTGAGCGTTTCGTTGCACGTACACCTCGCTGCAGCACAATAAAAGCACAAAATGTAAAAGAAAAAACTAAAGTGCTTTAGAAATCATTAAATTTGACACGGAACCACCAATATTTAAAAAACACACATTATATTATTAATTTCCTTTGATAAATTGATACATATTTTTTTCCCATCAATTTAAATGAGAATAATCAATGCAGAGTGTGCTAACATTTCAAAATCACGAGTTAAAAAACGCTGATTATGCGAGTATAAATATTAAAGCCGAACAGAGCGGAGCGGCGTGCTGCCAGCGCGAGAGGCTCACTGGCGCCTACAAACCTAAGTGGATACTTCACGCATTGCACAATGCGTGAAGTATCCACTTAGGTTTGTAGGCGCCAATGCGCGTTTCGCTCTGGCCGCCCGCCCGCCGTGCGGCGGAGCCTGAAGCAACTATTTCACAACAGAGGTGTTGCACGGTATTATACGAAATTGAACGTATTAAGAATGACAGGCATCCTTTAAAAGTACAGATGCTTCCTCGCAAAATAAATCAAGATACTTATCGTACACAGGAAAAATCTAAGAGCCTTCAGCTTAGGCAAATATAGGTTTATCCGGTTCAGGTATAACAAGGTGGGAATTTCTTGAAAGATAATAAAGTCCTGTTACACCAAAGAGGTGTAAAGAGTTTTAGTGAATTTTGTCTCATGGAATTAACGCTCCCCCATTTTTACCAAAACTCTCAACTTTATATTATTCTCCGTTGGACCAAACAGACAAAACAAAAAAAAGCAAACCCTCATTCTTCCAAGACATTATATATTTTCATCCAAAAACGTCGTAAGCAATTGTCGTTTGTATTTACATGTGGCCCAATTAACTTTGGGTCTCAACTGGCACGTGGACCAAAACTCCTGTGCCGAAAAAACGCGTGGACGTAAATTACTGGAAAAAACAGGTGCGCGGACAAAAAATCGTTGACGAAATGTCCTATAACCCGTTAAATAGCTATTCATCGGTAAGGAAAAACGTCGTATGAACACTCGGAGGGTGCCAAATTTCTCTAGATAAAACATGTATTTTTTAGGAATGTTATTCGTATTTCTCATTGAAATTTCCAGATATTTTAGATCAAACTGCGAACAAAATTATTTGAAATATTTGGAGAAAAATGTTTGCAATTTTCCAAGAAAATTCGGTTTTTATTGAAGTAAATCTGGCAACGTCTACAGGCTCATACGGCGTTTTTCCTTAGCACGGCAAATGTGCTCTTCGCGTGACAGAGCGAATTGAGGCTAACGTACTGTGACAGGCTAGTTAATCTAGCATTTTTTATTCATATAACCAAATCCTCAGGGGGGAAAAAACCAAAATTTTCAAAAAGGCCGCCGGTTAAAGTTTAAAATGGCCGAAAATTGTCACCTCGGTTTTTTACTGATGGATTTGCCTAAAACTTGGAATTTGAGAGTATTTTGGCATAAGATAAACAAATTTTAACTTAGATTTCTAAAAAAAAATCAATTTTTGGTCATTTTGAACTTTAAGCGGCGGCCATTTTGGAAACTTCGGTTTTTTTGAAAATCTAACGTCAAATTCGTTTTTCTCGTGTGAAAATACCCATACAAACCGATTTTAGCGCAAATCCATCGACAAATAACCGGTGTGAATTTTCGGCCATTTTGAACTTTAACCGGCCGCCATTTTGAAACGGTTTAAGATATTGACTTCGGGTTTGCGCGAAAAGTTTTCTTTTTTTATGCTCTTTCGAACGAGCTATCACAAAGGGGGTCTTCCCATTCGAAAATTAAAAGTTGGGGGCCGTTGCCCCCCCCACCCCCCCAAGGGGGGGCCCCCCTGAAAATTTTAGGGGGGCCAAAAAGTAGCTCCCTTTGACCTAGGAATATCCCCCAAGTTTCAAATCTTTACCTCAATTAGGTAAAAAGTTAGAAGGGGTGGAAGGGACTTTTGGATCACCCTGTATAGTGATTTCTAGACCTTTTGAAATGATTCCCTGTTTTCGAAATTTTGTTTTTGAGCGTTTCTGAATTTTGGTGTTTAAATTCTTCTACTACTTGTTTTTACGTTTATCTATCATCTTTTTTAACGAATGAATTTATCAATTTATCAAGAATTAATCAATTATCATTTATCAAGAATGATCAAAGCCTAAAACTGTATTTAGCATTTTGAAAACTTGGTTGCGAACCAGGATAAGTGAAACAAAAGTATGCGATTCCTCTAATCAAGCACCCAAAATCAATAAAATGCTCAGTTTTTTTCATTCCGTACCAGCCTCGGCGGGAAAAACGAAAGATAATCCCACTTTTGCACACTCAACATTCATTCCAATATCCCCTGAGCAGGAGGCCTTCGAACCAATGAGAGTCGGTTACCGCAAAATTGGCATTTTCTTTCAATCTTCCCGCAAGAGCTGAAATTCAACGAACAGAACGGAGCATTTTGTCGATTTCGGATGGTCTGTAGCAAAGGAATATACCTTCGTTTTACTAGTTTTCTTCGGGTGAGAGCGGTTTGGAATGAGACGCAAGGCTTAGAATGAAAATGAAATTTTAAGAGCCGCGTTTTGGGTTTTTTTTACTTCTTTATTTTTTTAAATTTTTTTACTCGTTATTGAGTTATTCTAAAAAGGATTACACACATTGTTCTTAAAGGTAAAATAAAGTAGAGTATACAAACTACCGGACGATTTGTAATTTATTAGCATGTAAAAGGTTTGATATTTTGAAGTATCTTTTTTCTTTTCCAAAACACTGAAAAAAAATCTCGGTGTATTTACTAAGAGCAGGGTAAAATTACCAAGAATTCAGGGTTCTATTTGATCCCAGTTTTTTCTTGGTAAAATTAACATTTATGGAATTGGTGATTTTACCTAGAAATCTCGGTAAAATTATTGAACTGTCTCGTAATTTTACTGGACCTTGGTAAAAACGCCAATATTTCTTATAGACTGTGGTAGAATTACCGAGATAAAATGGCAAAGATACCGAGAATTGATTACCAATAAAAGTGGTATTCTTACCTGAAAAAACAGTAAAAATACCGGTTTTTAGGTAAGCTTATTAGTCTGTCTTGGTAAAATTACGAATAATTGGTAAAAAAGTGAGATGATAAAGGTACCAACGGACCTTGGTAAAACGCCGAGAATTTTTTTTCAGTGAATGTTTATACAAAAACTTTTTTGGGAATGAGGTACTTTTTCTCACGATCAGTCACATTATACAGCTTTTCTGTACGTAACACTATCAAAGCGTCTGTTGGTTTTTCTTTTCAACACTTCTTCGCTATAACTTCGAATTCTGTCTCCAGTACCAAATGGATAAGACGGGCGCTAGAGCACAATTCGACGTGTTCAAACAAACGTGGGGTAAAACGTACAAGACGAAAGCTGAGGAAGAGAAACGATTCATAATATTCCAGGAGAGTTTGGAAACAATAAAACAACTCAACGAAGAAAGAGAGAAACGCAAAGACACCGCTGTTTTCGGAGTTACCATATTCGCGGACCTTACCGGTAAGTATACCACGCCGTTCCTGTGACGATTCTTCGTAGTTCACAACATCAGGTTTCTTTCATTAAATGTGCGAAAATCAGTCGATAATTTGTTAAACAGACAGACCTCGCGTATATAGAATCGATTATTTACAGTGGATTTGTGACATTTTTGTGTCCTACGCACGAGCTGTATTTTATTAGTAGAAGAAAATAATGTCCAGAAAATATAGACGATACCTCATTCTTCCACTATTGGACTGGCAGAAGCTTCAAATCAGTTTCAAAAGTTCCAAGTTTAATGTTTTTTTTTTTTTTTTTTTTTTTTTTTTTTTTTTTTTTTTTTTCATGCGCACAAACCTCTCCAAAATGAAATAAAATACAAGACGGAGAGGACTCCTTGCTTTTTACGACGGCTATGCAATGTGTCACACGGAGTCTACTTTCGTAAATTACGAACATTTTCGAGACTTTACTGAGTACTTTAAAATGTCATTGGTCAAAGGTTGAAGTAAGTCGCCAAAACTAAAATCAAAAGAAACTTCGTTTCAAACCTTGGACTTGTGTTTTAAAATTTTGACTTTTCTAGGATTTTTTAAAAAATAGAACGCTCCTCGAGTACAGTCAGTTCTGTACCTTAAACATGTTAAAAAAATAAAATATGATTGATTACAAGAAGAAGAAAAAAAAACTTAACCGACACGGAAAACTTCTGAAATTCGATGAAAACGTAGACTCGCACAAAGCGTCGACTGAAACATTTTTGAAACTCACCTGTAACAAGAAAACCGGAGCAAAATATTAGAGACAGAGAAAAATTAAAAAGAAAGACTCTACAACGATGAACTCATGGTATTTTTTAAATTTTAAATTCCCTGAGTATTCCGAGAATTTTCCCTGCGCTCCGGAGAGGAAAATACATAACTCAGATGAAAATCGTCCACGCATTCAAATAACTGCTCGTGTCACGCTCATCTACAAAGGCAAGAATAATGAAACGCCTTCATTTTTTCGTAAGCAACACGCACATCTACGAAGTTCGAATTGTTGTATCTAGACGATATCATCAGCATCTTATCGAGTTTGAATTGTTTGCTGGGGGTTAAGGTGATTCAGAACGTATTTTGTGTCAGAACGACATGCGATATATTGCATCGAATGGTTCCAGTTTTTCAGCTACTCATCATTTTCCTCGAATTTTGAGATCGTAATTCTGTTGTTAGGAGACTAAATAATTCACTTACCAATTATGACAAACAAATTCAACGTATGATAGGTGTGGTTCTTTTACAGGAAAAATATCGCATTCGATACTGCATTCGAAACTGCACTCGAATGCTATCGAACATCTAAATTACAGGAGGAAAAAATGATTTTCATCCTGAATTATATATTTTTCTCCCAGGGATACCTACAAGGAAATAAAGTAAATTTGAAATTCACCGCACTTACATCTATTGCGCTTTTCTGTCTGCGATTATACTACAGCGAGAAAAAAACTTCGGTCATATGAACCAAACGTACGGTGTTCAATGTTGGCAGTATTTTTCGGTTCTTGTAACCGTTCTCTCGGCTCTGGGACCCGTATCCTCGGTTCATACAACCGAACTTTCAAACCAAACAGAACTAACAAAAAAGCTCGATTGCATGAACCGAGGATACGGGTCCCAGAGTGGACCACTAGACAAGGTACGAATTTCAGCATTCTGATACATGTTTCGTAAGTAAAATTTCACGTAGAACACGATGCGCACAATCAAAATTGCCGAAATGAACTCCTTACGAAGATATTTAATGATTCCTGATGCGTGAATTCAAACCACCCGCTCTACGTGATTCATATCGCGCGCTGAACGTTATCATGACAGTCTCTGCGACATAAAAATCTGGCAACCTCAATCTTGACGCTTTGGCTCAGCTATAGCAAATTGCTAATAGTTTGAACAACACATGGTGGGAATTGAACACTGCTCGATTGAGAAGCTTGCTGAAACCGATGTAGTGCGCGATTTTGAGTTTCTTGTCAACGGGCAGTTCAAATTCCTCGTAACCAATGTGAAATAAAAACGTTAATATCTTCGTTAGGAGTTGTTTTCAGTAATTTTCCTAGTGCGAATCGTGTTAGATCGTGTTGTTTTTAATATTTTGTGCTCGGCACTCGAAGGCTTGACAAACAGGGCCATGCCCTAGTCGTTAGTAGAAGAAGAAGAAGAAGAAGAATAAGAAGAATCGTGTTAGACGTGAAATCCTGGTTAAGAAACATGTATCAGATTGCTTAAATTCGTACCTTGTCCATTGGTCCATTGAGAGACCGGTCGCAAAACCGAACAATACGGCCGACATTGAACACCGTACGTTCGGTTCATATGACCGAACTTTTTTTCTCAGTGTAGTTCCGCATATTTTTACTTTTTCCACTTTGCACAGAGGAAGAATTCAAGAGGATGTACATGGGGCCTGCTCCGGGAACTCACAAGCTTAAAAGAAGCGCGAGTCAAGTACAGCGTTTCGAGCAAGTGAAAAAGGCGTTCGGGATACCGACGAGCCCGCCAAGAAACGTGAGCGAATCTCCGTCGAAAAAGACGAGCAAGTCCCCGTCGAGAAAGACGAGCAAGTCCTTGTTGAGGAGGAGAAGCAGGTCTCCCGAAAGATCGCAGAATTTACAAACCCGAATGATGAAGAACCCGTTCAGGACCGGCTCGAAGAACCGGTCGCAATCGAACTCTCCGCCGAGGAAATCCAAAGGGAGATCGGGAAAGCGCTCGCCCGCGAGAGGTGCCTCATCGTTGAGCGACGGTGAGGAGTCTTGCGGCTCCCTCGGGCAGTCCGCCTCCGGAAGAAGGGGTCCCTACAGGATGGACGATGATGAGGGGAACGGGAGAAGGCGGCGCCGACGCCGGCCCCAGTCGCCCCCGCCGCCCCCGCCAATCGTCGGCCCCGACCCCCGCGGGACACCCGAGGTCGACTGGCGCGTCCCTGCCAGCCTTTACCCCCCGGTTGGAAATCAGGTCAGTGGTAGGGATGACGATTTTTTCGAATTAATCGATTTCGGGAAATCGATTTGATTTTCGGTAAAAAATCGATTCGATTTTAAAATCGGAAGGAAAAAATCGATTAAAGGTAAAATGTACAACACTTGTAAACACTCGATGTAAAACACTTGCAAATCCACCTTCAACGCCAAAAACAAATCTGAACCTTGAAATGAAACTCGGGTCTCGCAGAATCTAGGCCTAGTTTTGTGCCACATTAACGTAGAAAATTTCGATTCTTTCAATAATTCGATTTCTACTCGAAAAATCGATTTCGATCAAAAATCGGCAACAAAAAATCGATTCGATTTTGATTCGATTTTTGATTCGATTCGACTTTGCCGACGTGTAAGATAAATTCAGTATACAACTAAAATTCTCATTACAGAGGGAAAAGAAGCTCATTCAGGTATGGAATTCTGCATGGAGAAATGCTGTTTGGTGGAACACTGTCGTGCTCGGATGAGATTTTTTCCGGAATTTGTAATGAGAATTGCATTAAGTTGTGCACTAAGTTATCGCACGTTGAAGAATCACTAACTCTGTCAAAAAAAAACAAAAAACCAGATCAAATTTTGAACAGTTTTAGCTTGAGACTTGTAAAAATTTGAAAGTTTGAAATTTACAAATTTTTACCTCATTTACTGTGAATTTTCTAGCTGTGATGGGGCTGATTTGGAGGAACTCTCCCAAATAAGGGGTATCGAGAAGCCTCCCTCCTTCACCCCCCGAAATGTGAAAAAATAGCAATTTGCAGAAAAATTGATCAAAGTAGCATCTGAAAGATGAAAATATGTCTTCTACTGTCATTCATTTTACAAAGATACACAGGTTGACTTAAGACAGACGCAATGGAGAATTTGCACGCAATTTTTTTATTGCTTCATCTGAAAGTGCCTAATGAGCTGAGTTCGCAATATTTTTCATAATTTTTTTCTGACATGGGAAATTGGAGAAAAATTGATTTAAAAGTGAGAAAATGTGCCGCCTTGTGACGTCATCTGGCGGCATTTCCTATTTAAACACATGTATTTTAGCAGAATCGGTTATTTTGTCATATCTCCTCTAATAATTGCTCAATTTATGAATCAAGGGTATCTTCGTGTTCAGTTCACTCAGAGGATTCCACTTAAACAGGAAATTCATCAAATTTCAGACCCTTGCAAATTCTCCATTGCATCAATTGTATGCACTTGCATAAACAGATGCAATACGTGAAAGTGATTTTACGTACAGTGTAAGGGAACAAATAAAGTTAAAGCTGTAAGACCTAAATAACCTTAAAGGGTAACCAATCAGTGTTGAGGCAATTGGTTAAACATTACTGAAGTTGTATCGTTTTAAATGCCGTTATTTGAGGAATACCCTCTTCATATTATCAATATAAAAGAATATTATCGAACATTCCTTTGATTGACAGAAAATAGGGGACAGGGAATGTGGATGTTGTTGGTCCTTTGCGTGCATTGGTGCCATGGAAATCATATGGGCCCACCAAGAAAACGAAGTCGTCCGGTTCTCAGTACAAGGTAATGATTATTCATAGTTTGATAGAAGGCTGAGGCAAGCGTACGTCATCAAACTTATTTTCGTGCCAGACAATTACACTACCCTTGGAAACTGTTTAGTTTGTGCACAAGAAAACTTATAAAATTACAGCGTCTGAAGTTGATCGTAGCCTTTGCCACCTGTGTGTCAAAATTTTGGGTTTACGACGAAAAATCGAAAAACCGAAGCCTTTGATCTGCTGCCCATTCATTTGACTCAATGCTTAACTCTTTGATTTTTTTAAAAAAAAAAAAAATGCAAAAATCGAGAATTCATCAGATACCGTGCTTATTCATATTAAGGAAAAAATGACAGACTTAACCGGCGGCCTGATTGTTGACATTTTGTGGTTGTCGGGTCTACATAGATGACTTAAATTAAAAGGCGGAGCGTGATTGGTCGGCTATGTCTTATCGCTGCTTCGTCTTGCCTATGTCGGATTGAACTCACGACAAGCTAAACAGCACCTTCTAAGTTTCCGACAGTATGTTTCCACCTGACAAAGGCACGATAAAGCAGCGATACAGGAACTCGCTGTAAGTTAGCAATAATTTGTTCCGCAAAACCCCGTTCGTGGAACTAATTCGCCCATATCACGCTCGTGTGAAAAAGGCCTTCGTCTTAATTTAAAGGAAAAAATGAACGTATTTTTTTATTTTTTTTTTTTCAAAATACTTTTGCTTAACTTTCAATATTAGCCACAGAAGAAAAAGAAAGCGGTCGCATTTCGGGAGTCCTGGATTCTGTCGATGACGTAGGTTGATACGGACAGTGTTAATCATCAATTTTGGGAATGGTATCGTTCATGAAAAAAATCATTCTACATTAGGTGTTTTAAATTATATTCGGAGTTGATCTAAGCAAAAAAAGACACCATGGTCCGTATTTCAAACTTTCAATCTCGGATTTTCCTGGAATATCGACACTTTATTGCACCGACCCACGTCACAGGATGAATAATCCTCAAGATGCCATCATCTCCTCTTTTTCCTCTATGAATTTCAGCTTGGAAAAAATTTACATCTAGTTGAAATATACGAGTATAAACTCCTCTTAGCTAATTTCCCCCAAAATGCGACGTGATGAGTATCTGTATGGGTCCTCATGAGGAGACATTTGAATAAGACTCTGATTGTTATTCGTATAGATTTGATCGATTGCCAATTGGATAATCAAGGGTGCAACGGCGGTTTTGTAAACATAGGCCTGGATTGGATGATGGGCGAAGGCGTGTGTTTGGAAGAGGTCTACCCTTTCACTGCGGACGGTGACAGTAAATGCGAATTCCAGCTTCCGCGATACGCGAGGATCAGCGGCTATGAAACCTTAAATCCATATCAATCTTGGGCCCACGATTTTATCATCGAAAGAGCCTTGAAGGATGGCCCCCTACCGGCTGGCTACCCCCAATCACCCTCTATCCTCAGGGTAAGTCATGAGCTCCAGGAACTGATTAATGGGTTTTTTTTTTTTTTTTTGAGGCAGTAAGTCCACATTTATTGATATTCCATCGCGTGAGATCTGAATTTTGACGCTTTTTAAATTTGGCTTGCATATGGAATTCAAGTATACTAAAGGCAGTAAGCCTAATGATTCTCTTTAATGTAGTAAAGCATATTCTTCGATGACGATTCATTTAATTGGACCGCGTTAAACAGAAAGGAACCAAGCCACATCAGCTATTGCCAAATTTAACAGGTAAATTACATTTTTTACGAGAGAACGTCTGTGCAGATTCCTTTGACAATTTTAAGGAATTTTCTTCGTTTTATGGAGAAAATTCACTGAAATTTGCACAAAAATCCGCACAACGTCTTCATGTAAAAAATTAAACTGCCCGATTAAATTTGGCAATGTGGCTTGGTTCCTTTCTGTTTTACGCGGTCCAATTTTGAATTTAAATTAAGGATTTTTCGCTTTGAACGCTCGAATGTCTCAGAAGCGGTCGACATCGCATCGGTAATGTTAATGGGCGAAAATTGTAGTGCTTCTAGGGTTAGAGTCAAGCGTCGTTTTAATCAAAGCAGATACAGCTATACGTGTTTCCCTGTCGGGCGTTTGGCATAGCTGTGTACTGAAGGCAGTTTTTCGAGATCGGAACCGCGACCCTGCCCGGTCGAAAACGACATTCGCTGCGAGGATCACGCTCAAATTGGTTCCTTCCTGTAAATTCAGTTACAATCTTGAAAGAACTAAAGATGGAGCCAGATGGAGTTGGTTTCTTTCCCCGGATCGATTTCGTTCGATTCATGAAAATATAAGAAGGTACCAATCATAGTGAATACAGTAAAAAAACAAGGGGGAAAATCGGGAAACAAGGCTAAAATACACATTTTAAAAAAAAAAAAAACAAGCAGTGAACTCCAACACAATGTGTTGATAAGGCGCGTCATTAACTCGCACATATCAACCCCTTTAGTTTTCATTTACAGAGATTTCAAAATAGGCAAACAGCATAAAAAGAGAATTCACGATCCAACACTGCGAGGTCAAAGACGCACCTTGACGAGACCGTGTATTGTGAAAGTAGAAAGCTATTCGATCGAATTTAAGTTTTTTGATCTGCCTCAAGCAAAATCTTATCAGATTCTTGAAGAAAAGTGCTACGGAATAATTTAAGCGAAGAAAGGAAAAATTCTGTCGAACTCCTAGAAGATAAAGTCGATTTAAAGGTATTTTGGGGCTAAAATACCCAAATCACCGGTAGTAAAAATCCCGTTATATTATTGAAAAGAAATTGACTCGATATAAATGCAATTGCATTAAATACGTCTTGATTTTGTTATTTTAAACGTCTTTCCATGCAAAGAAGTTCAACCATGTCGTTGCTTTATTCATTCATGAATTGAAAGTAAGCAATCTACATCCCGAAAATCTACTGATTTGCCGTAAAAAATTGCAGAAACTTGATATACCAGGTCGATGCACCCACTCGTTGAATTTACCAACCAATTTTGTGAGTGCAAATGTGTAAGAATCAATATGCTATAGTCATTTTGGGTGCATTTATTTTTCATGAAACAATAATAATTTCAATCCCGAAAAACCATCAATTTTCCGTATAAAATCGAAAAAATCAAAATATGTCAACTCCCCGACGTGAAAATTAGATTCTACGTATGTAAAATGTAAATACTTATGTATCGATATGCTGAACAGAACTATGTGTGGACAGTCAGAAGCCCGCGGCAACATTAATTCAACAGAAAAACTGTAAAAATTAGATAGGATTTTAGCCGCTTTGCCCGCCTCTCCTCGCTACTTACAACAAACCGTTCTTATACTCATCTCAAAATTTTTCTCAGAGCTTTGGGTTATTATCAGCTTCCATTTAAACTCCGGTTCGATGGCCGAATCGGCTGCCAAAAAAGCAAGCCACTGTTGAGGGGTTCTATGAGAAATTCGTGATATTATCGGCTCTCAGGAAATCACCCCATGGCTAAAATTGGTGGTATAAATGTTTAAGTGCTTAAAATAATCGTATTCAAGAAACTAAGGAATTAAACTATGGAGTCAATTTCTTTTTAATAATATAACGAATTTACTACCGGTGATTTAGCTATTATAGCCCCAGAATACTTTTAAAGCGCCTTTGCGTTCCAGAATCTCGACGGAATTTTTTTTTTTTTTTTTTTTGCTTAAACGATTCAAGAAACATTGTAGTTAAAAATATAAAGATTTTTCGATTTGGACGTATGAAAAATGTTTAACTCGTTCAGGCACACCGTGTATTGTATGGAGTACTGCTGTTATTCGACCGTTGTCTTCAGGTCAAAATTCTTACAAAGAAGCCCCTTGCAAGAGGCAAATTTTTTGTAATTTCTCCCAGTTTTTTCAGCGTTAGGTATATAAATGAATTGTTTGTCAAATTTTGAGGTCAATTATATTTAATTGTAATTTATACTTTCTTTTTTTCCCCTTCATTTTATTTTTCGTATCGAGGAGTCGAGGTTTTGTTGATTTCTTCGGATTTCGATTACTGTAACTTCTCTTCTATTCGGCCGATTTTTATGAATGAGGTCTCTTTTTATTTGTGTTTTAACGGAGAGTAAGGAAAAAATTGCTAAATACATGCGAAACAATTTTTTTTGAAAATTGGATGAATCCTAGCGTGACGGTGAAATGGTTAATGAAGCGTGAGTAATTGGGGTACGGGTATCGGCCGCGTTGGGACCCAAGGCCCATTGTTCTTCGTGACGCCGACGCAGTGATCAGGAGCGTGGGGACGAGAGGGCTTAGTGGACTCCTGTATGAGCCACGTTTAGCAAATGGTCTAATGAGTCTCGAGGCTCATCACAGATTGCACTTACCACTATCCTGGTGGCCCCGGCTATCAGAGCAAGGAGTACCAACTTTTGAAAAGGATAACAGTGTTGTGGAGATATGTCAAAGCAACGTTGTGAACAAAACGGAGTGAGTGAAATTCTCATTCAAGGAGTGCCGAACTGGTCAGCCATCCTCGAATCAGTTCGCTTGCTTCCGCTTATATATGCATATTTTAAATCAGCGCGCCCCATTCTAAGGTTTTTTTAAAAAAAACCAAGAAACGTAGACTCTTGGTATTCATTACACATAAACTAGCGAGCCCCAGAATGAGAAACAAATTTTAATCATTATTATTGACGGATTAGTAAACTTTTTACACGCTTTGGAAAATCTCAGAAGTTCGCGGTAGTCACTTTTCGGTAAGGAACTAGGGGACTCGGTTATTGTATCGAGGGGGGGGTCGAAACGATCGCAAAGGCGGTATACTACGTATACGCGCCAAAAAAAAAAGAGACGTTTCGACGCAAAAATGAGTCATTTTCAGTCGGAAATGTTACAATAAAAATTTAAAAAACGATGAAAAACCTGAGCCCTACAAGGTGTGAAAGTGAAGGAAGTGAAAAGAAAATTTGATTTTTTTTCCTAGATCCCGGCCACCACGCGTACGGTTCAGGTTTTTCATCGTTTTTCAAATTTTTATTGTAACATTTCCGACTGAAAATGACTCAGTTTTGCGTCAAAATGTCTCGGTTTTTTTAAATTGTGTATCTTAGCCTTGTTTCCCGTTTTTCGCCCTTGTTTTTCTTGTTTCCTTGTTTTCCTTCCTTGTTTTTTCACCATTATCTCGGGCTGCTCTATAAATTTGTATCCCGCGATGAATACTTTCAATTAAATACTTAACGGATTGTAAATCGAAGTATCTGGTTTAAGTAAGTTCCAGTTATGCGTTTTTGTCTATGAAAAGCAAACATTTGATTGTTCAAAAGCGATTTTTGAAAAAAGGAGCGTGGAACTTTTCAGCTCGACCTCCGTAACGATTCAACAAACTATATGCCCGCTCGATCCGTTAAGCGTGGAAGAGGGTTTGCGGGACGAAAAATAAACAAGACAAGCCCCCCCTCCCTCAGTGCGGCGGGAAATATTTCTAATAACTCATTTTTTGAACGCTTTTTATTTCAGTACTATGTGCGGGGAGTTTTTGCTCCGAGCATTATGTACCATGATCAGCCAACAGGACACGCTGTTGTACTCGTCGGACATTACACACGACCACCCACAGGTATATTCTTTTTAATATTAGTAAATAAACGTACGGACAAAGTGACTTACAAGCCGAGTATATGAATCACGGAGCCATACAAATATAGCTCGTGGATCCATACTTACGTGTTCACGACTCATAAAGTATGGTTCAGAAAGGTATAATTTAGCCAGTAAGTCACTTTCGGTATGGATATTATGTACCTTTGAACTATTTTGAATGGGTTTCATCAGAGTCATAAAATTTACTGATATACTGATAATTATAAAATCTTATGAATACTTTAAAATTACTTTTACCGTATCATGAAATTGACAGTCGCTAAGACTTGGACATTCAAGTTCAATTTATAATGAGAAAACTTGTGTATCGTCATGCAAAATCTCCCCACTTTATCAAAGGGACGGATTCTATTATCAAATGGACGTATTTCGATATTATTCGTAAATGGTAACGAAAATTAGTACGTATAATGGACGTGAATAAAAAGGAACTATCCATTCTGATATGAGCTCTAATATCCAGGCATGACACGACTAGTGCAACAATGGATCCAGTTATGTCCGTCCAAATATAGACACACAAAATTAGATACAATCTTAATTTCACAATCTGGGTTAGAAATATGCGTTTTTTGAGATTCCCGCCTCGAAAACGATACCTACAACAGTGAACATTCCGTAAGAGGAGTCGCACCATCCAACCCTTGCGCACTAGGGTGCTGCACACAAAATAATTTAACATGGCTGACGTTTCCACGTGCAAATCGTGAGGAAGCACTAGGGTTTTTAGTATCGCAAGGATATGTAAATATAAACATGCCGGCTGATAAAATTCCGTTTGGTCACGTGTGTTTTGGCGGGTTGGCGTCGGCCATTTTGAATATTGCGTAACATCCTAGTGCGCAAGGGTTGGATGGAACGATTCCTCGTGCGAAATGTCCACCTAAGCCGTAGCGTAGTATCGTTTTTGAAGCGGGAGGCTTGAATGAACGCATATTTCTCACGCAGATTTTGAGGTCAGGAGTGCATTACAGAAGGTCCTCATCGTGATTTTGGAGTTATTTTCTGTGAGAAATAACTCTTCTTTATAATCTAACTGAAGTTTGCAACACCCTCAAATTGTTTGCACGCCATTTAAAGAAAAACATTATAATGCAATATTTGGCTGGCTAAGTTTCATAGAACATGGTAAAATGATTGAAAAAATAATCGAGCTACAAAAGCCAAAAATAAATTAAACGAATAATATTTCGAACTAAGCAGTTTGTTTGGTTTGTTTCCTGAAAGTTTTTTTATAATTTCCCATCTCTATATAGTTTGAAATATTATTTTTTTTATTTTATTTTTGGCTTGTAGCTCGATTATTTTTTCAGTCATTTTACAATGTATAAATAAAAAGTTGGTCGAAACGGAATCTTAACGAGTACAAAATAACTTAGCTTATCGTGGCAATGTTTAATTTTTTGGACTAAGAGGCGGTTGGTGTCTAATTTTTGATTCCAGATTCCTGGATCATCCGGAACAGCTGGGGTCCTGAATGGGGTATGGAGGTGTGTGGTATAAGTATTTGGTCTTACTCTAAACTATTTAATCATAAGAGTAACGCGTTATGCATTAGAAGTTCTAACCTCGAGTTAGGTTCTAACTAGGTTCTTCTAGGTTCTCTCAGTTCTAATTTAGAACTGAGATAAAGCGCTTCGGAGAGTTAGACCTTGAAGCGGTCTGCGGGTGCAACCCCTTCTTTCTCTTGATTTTTTTGCTCAAGATCGTTTCCAGTATGCAGCTGTTTACACTATATTGAAGTGGTCTTCTTCCTATAATGTTCTGTCCTATATAATATTTCCCGGACGAAGCGAAGGAACGCGACTCTGTGGTTGCAAAATTGTCTGATATAATTAAAGATTTTACAAAAATATGACTCCGTTTTACTGGATTTTTTCTGTGCATGAGCAAGGAAAAAATCAGTCTTTATGAAAATACATTTTTTAGTTGAATTTCTTTTTTTTAACAATGTTCGCCGCTGTCTGAGTGATATCCTATACTGAAAATATGTGTTGTAGCGCCTGATTACTTATACTTTTTCTATGAGTACATCATCACGAAGACACTAATGAGGGACACTGAGAAGAAAGATCGGTAGACTTTACCATTTCTTCACGCTGTATTTCACACAGCGTCAATTTAGAGTCAATTCTGGCAGAAGAAAGGTAAACGTTACTATACATATACCGGTACAGGTAACCATTCCGCTGGCAGAGTCGACTTGAAGATCGGTAGAATCTTCACGCTGTATGAAATATAGCGTGAAGGAATGGTAAATTCTACCGATCTTTTTTTTTTTTTTTTTTTTTTTTTTTTTTCTCTCAGTGGACTTGGAGGACAAGGCGCATAAAACCAGTTTCTGCTATTTCGAGAAATGCGTGTTTGAAGTTTCATTTACATGGATCCTTATGATGGAAAGAAAGTCCAAACTGACTTTTTGGAGTTTAAAATTGGAATTTGAGAGCGAATTTTGTTTTGAGACCAGGTTAACTTGAAATCATTAAAATCTCAATTTTTTTAAAAAAAAAAAAAACTGCACTTATGCGCCTTGTCCTCCAAATCCCTTAAATGTAAATTAGTAAAAGATCGAGAGAGAAATATTGGCAAGTATTCTTCGAACACGGATCAAATGGACGTATTTCTATCAAACGGAACTAAGCGCCAATTGGAGTTCATTATGAGAAATTTAGAATCCCGGATAGCGCGTTCTGTCAAACGGACCTAAGCGCCATGGAGAAGCATTGCGAGTATAGGACGGAATAAGCTGGACGCCCGATTCCGCCGCCAATCCAAGCCCCCCTCTACCTTTCTCACCCTATGGCGCTTAGGTCCGTTTGATAGAAATACGTCCAAATGGAAGTTAGAATATACGACTGACTTCTTTTGTAATTTTGATGCCACAACGTCTATATCTTGTTTAGGAGTTGATTTTCAAACTTATCGATCTGTGATTCGTTTTCCGCGAGTGAACTTTTAAGGTGAAACATATTGCGTAGTGTTTTGCGTAGTGTTGCGTGTCATACTTAGTCAAGCGGCCCATCATACTAGCCAGTTCCAACACTTTTGAATTTTGAAAAGTTAATTCTAACGTCCTCTTAGTGTAGGACGACATGTTCTTCGTTCTAAAACTTTTGTCTTGTTTTTGCAGGGACATTTTCTGGTGAAAAAAGGAACGATGGGCATCGGTTATGACATTCATAAAATAACAGGTCCGATCATACAAATTTGGCACAGTGAGGAAGGTTCTGAATCACCCGAGACCCCTCCGTATGGTGGCGCCGGCTCGTCTAGCTATCAGCCCGGGGGATACTACCCCGACTACCCCAATATTGGCGGGTTGAGTATTCACGACAGTAATTATTATCATTATCAATCTTCCAAGCCGACTAAATGAATGTCAATTTTATTAGCTTTTACTTGTAAAATATTTTACTCAATAAAATTTTATCCATTCTTGAAAAAAAAAAGATTCGAATCAATCCCTTTTTGTTGTCTAATTTTAGTCCTTAAGTCGATGAATTCTGATTTTTTGTTTGCAACCGATCAGTGGGTCACGTTGGCCATTGAAAACGAGTTTATTTGGTTGCCAAATAATTTGTAGATGCTAGGGGGTATGTCCCCTGGCCGCTGCGCGGCCCAAACCTCAGAGACATTACATTTCATTTCACCTCGGCCTGTAGCGCCACATGTACAAAAAAAATTGTTGCATTCAGCCACAGACTATAAATCCTGTGTGGCTAAATGAAACAAGAAAAAATGAGTGTTGCAATCTGAACTAGGTAGAGCTAGGTAGGTTGAATAACCTACCCTTAAATAACCTCAGGGAGGAGAACTGGACTGAACTGAACGCATGAGTGAGTAATTCCTCCGGATACTTGTGTCCTCCTATGTGTGTGCAATCTTTGGCATGGGCGGAAATTTATAAATATGAATTTAACGAGCTACTGATTTTCATGTAATTCAGCATAAAATGGTTTTAGTATCGGTCAGTATCGGAGGATAGTGAAAGAATTAATTTTTAAGAAAAACGGGTGTTGATACTTTTTCACTGATGCCAGATCTTCATTAAAAGCACTCTCGCACCGCAGTAAAATAGATATGGATGGATAAATGGAAAACTGCGCTTGGTTGGTAAGCCATTTCGCCACACTCGTTTTTCTTGTTTCATTTTGACTCATAGAGCACCCATAACCTGTGGCAAAATGCAACAATTTTTGCTGCGTGGCGCCATGAGTCGTGGCTAGGTAAATGAATTAGATTCCGTCCGTTTCGCGGACCCCCGTTACTTAAACATCTATTCCTATCAAACGGAAATATGTGCATTATGGCGTGAGCCCTGTTATGCACATATTCTTATGGGTCTCATGGCTCATGTCTTAATGCACATAGTTCCGTTTGACAGAAATAAATCATATTGATCGGAGGCGAGGCGTGAATGATGGATCATCGATATCACCCCATTTGAAGCTGTGGTAAAGAATCGATTATTAAGGTGTCGTTGCGAACACCCTGTTTATCGATCCTTTTCCATTGATTTAAATGACAGATTTATCGAAAGGTCGCAAAGCACGCCACGCCACTGATATTGGTCACCGCCACCTGTCTGTCTTTAATACTTCACGATGTGATTAACTAGATTTAACAGCAGTGTTGTCAGAACCCACGTGAAATGGTGCCGTTCGCAACCGAGTCTTTCCTTATACGCTCATAATTTTGACGCCTGTCGAAAGGAAAATTTTGGCCAGTGAAGCTCGATTTTTTTTTTTTTAAATTAGACGAGCCTTCGGAGGGAATTATCTGAAAAATATTGCGGAAAATTCCAGAATCAACTTCAAGGAAAGTTGTCAGGCACCGACTGAACTTTTAAATTCTTGTGAAAAAGTTCTGATGACTGATGAACAGCGTTGTTGGATTGGTCTTAAAAATGAGACCATAGAGTGCTCCAAAAACATAGATGGGATATGGTCGTGAGGATCGCCCAATTACATCCCAAGATTTCGACCTGTGCCAGTTTTATCCCGTATATTTTATTTTTTAGATACAAATTTTTATAGCGCAGCCCGAGATAACGGGAACAGTAAAAAAACGAGAGGAAAAACGAAAAACAAGGCTAAAATACACAATTTAAAAAAACCGAGACATTTCGACTCGAAACTGGGTCATTTTCAGTCGGAAATGTTACAGTAAAAATTTTAAAAAAACGATGAAAACCTGAGCCCTACATGGTGGTGGCAAGGATCTGGAAGAAAAAAAATAAATATAAAAAATACAAAATACAAAAAATAAAAATACAAAAAATACAAAAAAATACAAAAATGAAAAAAAAAATTCCCCTCCAGATCCCGGCCATTACCATGTAAAGCTCAGGTTTTTATCGTTTTTTTTAAACTTTTTATTGTAACATTTCCGACTGAAAATGACTCGGTTTTGAGTCGAAACGTCTTGGTTCTTTTTAATTGTGTATTTTAGTCTTATTTCTCGTTTACCCACTCGTTTTTTTCTGCTGTTTTATTTTTTATGTTTTATGACAACCCTGCAACATAGAACCGAAATGATTCAACTAGTCATCAAATCATAAAAGTTCTGATTTTTTAACACAATCACCCTACCGTCATTGAACTGAAAAAAATCGGATTTACTACCGTTAAAAAAATCGATTCCTTGGTAGTTTCATTTTCGCACCCATGGAAAGGCTTATCACGTCAAGTCAATTTTCAGATGTCCGTATCACTGTTCAGAGTATCAATATTCTGTTTCTATTATATTGAGAATAAGTCGAGTCGATTGACTTTCGCATTAGGTCAATAGAATAATTAATCTAGATCTAACTTAAAGGCAGTTAAAGTAATTTCAATCAATCAGAGTCACTGTAGATTCACTTCAAGTCAACTTGAGTCCAATAAATTGAAATGGGGAAAAATTTGGCTGAGAGTAGAGTCCAACTTGACGCATCTTTAATCAATTATTAATAGTCCACCTCATAACCCTAAATCACCCAATAAAGTAAATCAATATAATTTTTGTGTACTTCAATAGATAAGAGATTTAAAATTATCTGTAGTTGAAATATGAGTCCAATAGCTTTAGTTAGCTTACATATCTCTAGAAGTAACCTCAAAGTTACATAAACTATTATATCATAATAGACCTTTTATTCAGGCATTCTAAAGTAGCACTTAAGTAGCGTCCTCAGCAAAAACGCCGTAACTCCATTACAAATTTAGTATTTTTCTTCCGCACATACTGCTCTATTACAAGAAAATCCAAGTGTGACAAGGCTTCATTTCTTCAATTTTGAGTTTCTACGGGCATACCAAAATCGACTTGAACGTTTATTTTCCTGTGCACTACAAAATAAATTGATGAAAAGCTTCAAGCACCTGATAGGCCATTAAACTTATAGAGGCAGATAAATTTTTTGCACTACCACTTAACAGTTACAAAAATGCAGAGAAGTTATAGAGCCAAACAAGGGTAAATACTGGAGAGGTAAATTGCCTAACAATGGTGACATTTTGCAGAAAAGAATTTGAAAAAAATTTTAGCACTGCTAAGTTGAACAGAAATGATGAACCCTGCCGCGTTTATAGCTCTCCAGCTTTGATTAAATGGATTACATTTTGCAATAAAGAGTCACTATTTCTGGCCCATTTTAGGAGCAACATACATGCCATTGGTTTCCCTATACAGATATGTGCTTTTAAGAGAAAGTCAGAGATAGAGGCACCTTATCGCCAAATAATCCTGCCAAAAATTAGCTCTTTGATCGTTTGAGCACCCTGAGCGTATCTATTTGGCATTTGACAAATTTTTTGATGGAACACTATAAGTCATAAACTGCATAGTATATAATTAGTTGCGATCTTTCCGCAATCAAAAATCTGGAACATTTCTGCATTATTTTTTATGCTAAAAAACTTAAATCTTACAATACAGCATCATGAAATCCATCTCTGCACTCAAGCTAAAATTTTTTGCCGGAGACTCGTTCCATCGAGCGGTTTTTAATTGTAAAAGCTTATAGTAGAATCCTCAGGTTCTAAAAAAATAGTGCTCTTGTGAGAGGAGAAATTTTGTCAAATCCTACCTTATTTTGATGAACTTTTGTAGACCAATACATCATTCCAATAACCACCAAAAACCCAAAAAAGGGTAAAAATCTCGTCACGACCATGAGATTCTCTACCAGATCAGGCATTGAAAAAATAGAGGAAAATAACACTTCCAAAATCTCAACAGGAGTTTTCCATTTCAAACCTCAAAATTTCTGATATAATGTGAGGTCAAGATTTCACTTAGCCTCTACGCCTCAAATCTACAGCAAAATTTCGGAAACTAATTCCAGTTACAATTCCCTTCAGTTTTCTGGACGCAACCAACTTCTCTTTGAAGTATGTTTGGTTGCCTGAGCCGCATGCACGAGAAACATTTAGAGATTTAACAAGATTATTTAACAAAAAAATTTTTTACGCACCGGCACCGTCACAATATAATTTTACCTATTTTATTTAGCCCTTTTTTTGGCGTCAGGCAAAAAAGCAGAGTAAAAACGGTGCGACGCTTCTCAGAAAAATCTTTATGTACATGATTCCGAAGTACAAACAAGTTGTTAACTTGTAACACATTGGTGTTGCATTAGCGTTTCCAGGAGAAAAGTTGTTTTTGGTAAAGTTGGTATTTTATTTTACTTTCAATAATTTACGATTATAAATCAATCAACACTTAAAAATCACGTATGTACATAATTAATTATGGTAACAATTGTAAAATGTGATAATGATATATACTTCTTATGATTCTGGTGACATTAGATTTGAGAGAGCAAAACGGCAGGAAAAGTTACAATAATAATCTTTCAAATCTTAACCGCCTTATCGATCATCCTGAACCGATCGACACCAATCCAACGGACGAATTGGACGTATTTCTATCAAACGGCAGTATGTGCATTAAGACATGAGCCCTGAGACCCATAAGAATACATGCATAACAGGGCTCATGTCATAATGCACATAGTTCCGTTTGACAGAATTACGTCAAATTATGAAAAAAACCGGCGTCGATTCGATTGATTCACGAGTGTTTTTTTTTTTTTTTTTTTTTTTTTTTTTTTTTTTTTTTTTTTTTCAATCCACGTTTTTAATTTTAGCTCGATTCATTTCGATCGAATCCATGCCCTACGCTTCGAAAGGGTTCATTGATCAAATGAACTTCATTTACAATTAGAAACCACAATTTCTATGACTTCGTTTAGGAACAACGTGTGGACTTTTCGTTTCCTTACGAACGCAAGATGTTTTACAGAAGAGCCAGGAATTGTAGGTTCGAATAGCAAAATTAAGTTCAAATGATCTCACCATAACATTGCTGAGCAACGAGGGAGCTTACACGTAA